GGTGATGCTCATCGGAGCGACTGCCAACTCACTGCAGAGCTCTGCGCTCGCAGGTCCACCTTTGCTCATCTGCATATGCTCTGAAGAAAAATGATGAACATCTTTAAGGTTTTCAAATATTATTTAACCTTAAAGTGATGTTTAAATCAATAATGTATGGCTCACAAATTAAACTGCTACAAATACCTCAGCAAGATGTCCCTAAAGCAATAAAACTGTTATCACAACCAAATAGTGGTCGAATCAACTCTAAGTTTTTCCAACCCAAAACTCTTTTTTTTCTTTTGATCAGAATCCCAATCCAACCAGAAGAATTCTAGGAAGTGCATTTAGAAGCTATTCTTCCATATTACATACAGGAAACACTGGCACTAAATACATATGAGGCTCAGAGAGGCTGCACATACAAGGTGGGTGAGGATGCTGGTCCTCTCTTGAAATCCAGACAACATCCACATTTTTAATGAAATTGTCCACTTAAATCCAGCATGGCAGCTTATACACTCGAGAGGGAGCTCACAGGGTGGCCCTCTGGGATATCATGCCCCACCAGGAAATGCTTGCTAAACACAAGATGGCCAAGGACAGCAAGGCATTGGAATCCCTACAGTCATAATTTTCATCATACAAAGAATTCTTTTTAGCCTAGAAAATTTCAACAGCAACTCTGGAAACACTCAGAACCTCACTGAACAGATCTGTGGTCTCCTGTGAATCCATCTAGCCAACCTTCCACCCATTCGTCCATCTACCCATTCATCCACCCACCCACCCATCCATCCACTCACCCATCCAGCTACCCACTCACCCATCCATGTACCCACCCATCCACTTGTCCATCAACCCAAACATCCACCCATCCAGCTGTCCATCCATCTATCTATGCTGATTGTACTTACTGCACTGATTTTTACTTACTTCAGTGATTCTAATTACCACCACTGAAATACATACATGAAAGTGATCAAATTGGCGATTTTAATGTTTGTATTTACTTTATCATAATAAAAATACTAAGTTTCTTTTTTTAAGATTTTATTTATTTATTAGAGAGGCAGAGTTACACAGAACAAGAGAAGGAAAGACAGAGAGAAAGGTCTTCCTTCTGCTGGTTCACTCCCCAGATGACTGCAATGGCAGGAGCTAAGCTGATTCAAAGCCAGGGGGCAGGAGCTTCTTCCAGGTCTCCCACATGGGTGCAGGGCCCCAAGCACTTGGGCCATCCTCTGCTGTTTTCTCAGGCCACAGCAGAGAGCTGGACTGGAAGAGGAGCAGCCAGGACACAAACCAGTGCCCATATGGGATGCTGGTGCCACAGGCAAATGCTTAACCCACTACACCACAGCACTGGCCCCAAAATACTGAATTTCACATCCATCTCAAGATTTTCATGAAATTCCTAAGTGGACTACAAGTGCAAATTGAAAAGGGTCCCTACCACCCAGGTGAGACCTAGATTGAGCTTCCATTTCTGACTTTGGCCTGGCGCATCACCAACTGCTGCTGTGGGCATTTAGGAACTGAATCAACAGATATGAACCAGATGTGTGTGTGTGTGTGTGTGTGTGTGGTGTGTGTGCACGCGCGTGTTTGTGTTTCCTCTCTGTCTGATTCTAAAATAACAAGGAAGAAAACTTTCATTTGTACCCAGCGTAACTTTTCCAAGCCCATCTGCACTACAGGGAGTGAGGATGAGAGGCCCTCTGCTTGACAGCGCTGTTCTCCTGGCTGCTGTCACATCTCACTGAATCTTGCATCTGATTTCCCACTTTCACCCTTGGCTTCCACACTCTGTCCACAACACAGCAGCCAACTGGGATCACTGTTGTTAAAAAGCCAGATACGGCGTCGGCACCTCCACCTGCAACACTGGCATCCCATATGGGCGCCAGGTTCTAGTCCTGGTTGCTCCTCTTCCAGTCCAGCTCTCTGCTGTGGCCCGGGAAAGCAGTGGAGGATGGCCCAAGTGTTTGGGTGCTGCACTCGCATGGGAGACCAGGAAGAAGCACCTGGCTCCTGATTTCGGATCCATGTAGCTCTGGCTGTGGTGGCCATTTGGGGGGTGAACCAACAGAAGGAAGACCTTTCTCTCTGTCTCTCTCTCTCTCACTGTCTAACTCTATCTGTCAAATAAAAACAAAAAAGCCAGACACATACCTTTGGGTCCAGCACACTTGGAATTTACAAATCACCACCCTATTTAATAATATGTAGAAATGAATCTAAAAACTAAAGTCCCTGCATCCTTGCCTCAGTCTTACTTGGTCACTAAGTGTCATGAGTATTTCTGGAGAGAGCTGGAAGGACCCCTCCTGCCCCTTAGTGCAGCTGCTACCAGAGAAGCCTGTTAGTGTGATCCGTGGTGTTCCAGGCTGGGAGAATGACTCCAATGCTAGGGAAGAGGGTGAAAGAACTGCAAACCGACACCCAGCACCCCTTATGCTACCTCCGTGTTCTCAGTGCACTGATTCTATCCACTCCTTCCCAGGCCAGCATGTTCTGAAGGAACCACAGCGATAACTTCCTACTTCAATTCTTGCCTCCATGTGCTCCATGCTCTACAGTAGGGAAAACAGAATAAAAAACATATGTGGACAGCTCAATCAGTTGATAAGACAAAGACAACCATAGGGACTAAATAAATTTATTTCACAGCTCGTTTTTTCTGGAAACTCAAGCAGGTTTTCTAAGTTGCAGTCTTGGAGAGAATTCTTTCTTTCTGGGAAAACATCCATCTTTTTTCAATTGATGCCTTTAACACTTGGGTAAGACCCAGCAACGTTATGAAGATGTAAAAAGCTTTACTAAAAGTCTTCTGATCACATCTAAAAAAATCCCTTCACAGCAACATCTAGACTGGCATTTGACCAAACATCGGCACCCCAGCCTCGCCAGCTGACACATCAAACTTCCTGCAGTCCACCTTTTTCTACTGGCACTCATATACAACTCCTTAAGCCATAATGAATCTCCCAATAAATATTCATTCTGCCCATGACATTCTGTAAGTTAAATACTATGATTTAAAACTAATGCATCTTGTGTTACATGATAAGGGGATAAAAGAGGGAAGAAATCAGTTTAACCCATATGTATACACACATGTATATGTAATACATAAAATGCTTACATAGTATACACATGTTTAAGTCTGCATATACATATACATGCAAGCACATATGTACATGCACACAAACATGCGTCACAAAATAAAGAAGCATCAGCCACCATCCTCATTTCTGCACATGGTCAGACAGTGGTAGCTGGGATCACCCCCTGCCTCCTTTCATGGCTCTGGCTCGCTCCACATCCCGTGTCTCCTGCAAGCCCTTCAGCTCACATGTTCTTCACCTGGCTGGGCCCAGGGCATTCACAGCCCTGCCACAACTGGGTTATTGTAGTTTTTCGATTGACCCTCATCATATGGCCTGGTAAGACCAAGAGACACCTGCAGAGACCTTCAGCATCCCAGTGTACTCTTCCTTACCTCCATTGCGGAGAAGCCATCCTGCTTCTCCTTGTTGGTCATCAATTGTCACCACCACTACTGGAACTTCCTTCTTCACCTGTTTATCCAGAGAAGCCAGGAACCCAGAGTGACCAGGTGGCAGCCCTAGCTTCCAGTATAACGGGATCTCTGTGGTGTCTCCTGGTCTAGACACTCCTCCCTTCGGAATGAAGACCTTTAGGCCAGCAGAGATTAAGGCTGTGGGGATAGGAAGCAAAAGTGAGTGGTACGCATGGTCACTCCCATTTCCACCCTTTTGATTACAAACCCCGAATCCTCACTAGGTGAGAAAAGCCATGTGTTGAACATGGACCCAGAACGTGCACAGTAATGTCCTGAGAATCATCTCCATTTCACAAGGCTTTGCCACCTAACTGATGCTGCCGGTGAGTCTCCCAAAGGCTACTGCTCTGTTTTAACAAGTCAGCAACTTCAAAATGCTGAGGGCACAGTGAATGAATTCCATCAGCCTGGGTCCAGGGGCACAGCTCACTTACTCTGAAGTCCGTGTCTTGATCAGAACCAAAGCTGTGTTGGATAATGTAAATGGTAGGTAAGTGTGCAAGTTTTAGTCAGCTTTCCCTTAGTTTCATGAGAAATCTGAGGCAGACAAATTTTATAGAAGTTTAATTAGCCTCATAGTTCCAGGAGTTCATGTCTAAATTCAGGTAGCCACACTTGTCTGGTCTCTGATGAGAGTAGAACGTGGCATCAGCAGAGCACAGGCAAAGGAAGGATCCCAAGGCGAGCCAGGAAGCAAAGGGTGTAGGTGTGCCGACTCATGGTTTCCCAGCAACCCTCTCTTGAGTGAGCGCCACTGCTGAGGGCACGCGTACTGTGCCCTGAGGACATCCTATAGGGCTCCATTTCCCATTTTTCCCCATTACCTCCCTTTGTGCCACCCTAAGATCTAAGCTTCTTTAACACATTGGCCTTTGAGGAACGTCCAAACTGTAGCAATAAGCATTCCGTAAGTCCACGTTCAGGAGTTCTGGCAGAAACATTTTTTGAAGACAAAGAAAATCCATCCCCAGAGTGTCTGTCCAGTAAGAACTTCCTTCCATGATGAGGTGGTGCAATGTAACCAGTCTCCCACTTGGTAGTTGGCTGATCACCCTGAGGAATGGTGCCTGAGCAGGGGCTGCTTGTAGATTGTGCACACAACAGTGGCCACAGCCAGTCATCCTCCAACAACGGAAACCCAGTGTAACTTCCATCTCTATTGCCAGGGCCACTCTGTCGTGAGCCTACTGGGTGTGATGGGGTGGCTGGAGAAGGCAGCTGACTGATATCCTCAGAGTATACTGTGCTGTTCATGCTATTGCTAAAAGCATGCAACATAGAATCTGCATATTTTCAGCCTGTCAGGAGAGGTCTGTCCACATCTTCCCCAGACCTTCTCATCACCAGTTTTCCAGTGGTATCCCTTGCAAGCTCCCCATCCACCAAACCACTGGACACACCCTATGAACTGGTAAAGAGTGGCACCCAATCTTATCTTCAATATATTTATTACATATTAAAATAGCTACAAAGGCACAGAAAGTAAATGATTTATCATTTTTGACAAAGTTGGCTAATTTCTATGGACATATTTCTGACAGGATGAATTTTCTAGAATTACAAGATTTCTGTTAACTTCTTCTATGCATTAGCATCACAAGGGAGCACTAGACTTAGGCAAAACTTGTATACAAATAAGTTAGCTGAAACGCACCTATCAATTGAGGCCTGTCAATCACCAAAAGGTCAGAATATTATAACCAAATAGAAAAAATGCATCATGGATATTCTCTCAATGAAGGATTTTGTGTATATACTTTTGGGAAGTTGGTGTACCCTTTAAAAATTCTTTTAAAGGGGTCAGTGCTGTGGCGCAGCAGGTTAAAGCCTCAGCCTACAGTACCAGCATCCCATATGGGCACCAGTTCGAGTCCCAGCTGCTCCACTTCTGATCCAGCTCTTTGCTATGGCCTGGGAAAGCAGCAGAAGACGGTCCAAGTCCGTGGGTCCCTGCACCTGTGTGGGAGACCCAGAAGAAGCTCCTGGCTCCTGGTTTCGGATCAGCTTATCTCTGGCCATTGCGGTCATTTCAGGAGTGAACCATTGGATGGAAGGCCTCTATCTCTCTCTCTCTCTCTCTCTCTCTCTCTCTGGCTCTACCTTTCTGTATAACTCTTACAAATAAATAAAAATAAATAAAATAAATCTTTTTTTAAAAATTCCTTTAAGAAGAAAAAGGTTAAATTAGCTAGTCTATTGTGAACAAAACTTTAAGCAAAGATTTATTTCCTTTTTTTTTTTAATCTTCGAACAGAACCCTTCAATTTACTATTGGACAGAAAGGCAAAGATAGGCAACTGTTTCATTGCTTTTTCTTGTGACACTTTCAGTTCCTCCTCTCAGAAAATCCAGTATTAAACACCACTGGTTCTCACTTATTACCATAAGTTCATAAGTAAGACTTTCCAGTACACAGAAAGAAGCAAAAGTGATGTATCAGGATAACAAAGGGTCTGGTCACTGGTCTTACATTTTTGAAGTTTACTGAGAAGGTTACACCTCAAAAAGGAACCAGATCACTGGAGACATTGGTGTTTGAAATTTGGAGAGCAAAGTTGGAAGTGAAGACTCTAGAACATACATTTGTGCATCCTTATTGTCCTCAGAAGATTTTTCAACATCTCTGTGTCCCAAACATCACAAGCAAAAACACAGGGATGCCACAACTGAGGAGCTGCCCAAAGTGATCTAATCAAACTATGTAACTTATAAACCCTGGCCAGCAATGAACGTGTCAGGAGCTGCTGAGGGTGAAGAGCAGTCCCAAGGCTGCCACTCGGCCTCGCCTGTGTTGCTGGAGGATGACGAGGCAGTGCGTGCGCTCTAGTGTGGCAGCACAGTTTCGTAATCATGCTCAGTGGTGTAGGAAGAGGGCCCAGCAACAGAAGTCCTCAGCAGGGCGTAGTCGGTTTCTGACCCCTCTCTCAGCACCCTCACTCTCCTTGTGGCGTCTACGTTCTCATAGCCATCATCATTGGAGTTCAGTGAGGACCTCCGGTGGCGGGCGTGATTAATGATGCTGTAGCACACTTCATCGGATCCACTGCCATTCTCAAGCTCCTACCACACACACAGAGAAAAGAAATCAAGGACCCAAGATCATCAAAACAGAACTCAGTGCCCACCAAAAAAAAAAAAAAAAAAAAAAAAAAAAAAAAAAGCCCTTGTCCAAGCCCTAGTGACTTAAGCCTCATTATAAGGGGCAAGCACTGTGGCTCAGCGGGTTAAAGCCCCACCCTGAAGCGCCGGAATCCCATATGGGCACCAGTTTGAATCCTGGCTGCTCCATTTACAATCCAGCTCTCTGCTGTGGCCTGAGAAAGCAGTAGAAGATGGCCCCAGGACTTGGGTCCAAGTTCTCCCACCCATGTGGGCAACCCAGATGAAGCTCTTGGCTCCTGGCTTTTGACTGGTGCAGCTCTGGCCGTTGCAGCCAATCGGGGAGTGAACCAGCAGATGGAAGACTTCTCTCTCTCTCTCTCTCTCTCTCTCTGCATAACTCTTTCAAATAAACATATCTTTTAAAAAAAAGCATAAAATCACCTATATTGTGATATATTCAGACATATGGAATGAAGGAATTGTTTTTCTATTTCTTTGTTTTTTGCTTTGTTCTTACTTTTGTCTAATTACCTGATTAGAAGTAGATGGAATTTCTTGCCCTGTAGGATACAAAATAAAAGGAAAGCAACTTGAGACCTCTGGATCATCACAGGTTGAAGAGGATGAAAAGGAGCGGAGGCAGTGATGACGCTGCAGAGAGGCGGCTACCTAAGCTGCGGCCACTCACACACGCCAGCTTCCGCCATGTGCTGAGGGTGCCTGTAGCCCAGCTGACCCCAAGTCTGCTGGACACACCAGAGCTCGGAATTTAGTTGTAGAATATACCGCCACAAATGGTGACAATGGAGTGTGGAAAGAAGGAAAGAAGAAATGCTGCTGTAAATGTGAGATAAATTCTATAAAATATCACCAAAATTATTATTATAAGTTTTAAAGATGTAGTCATCGCAGGGAAAGCTGCAGAACAAGAGTAATTTTTCAAATTCCACACAAATACACAAATTCGGATCGACTGCATTGTGACTTCAGAAGCAATGTGGAATCCACTTCACAGCCTGTGCTCAGGGGCGTGCCCACTATTCACAGGAAGCTGGGGCAGATGGGATACTGCACTCACACCTGCACCTGCAGAGGCTGCCCAGGCACTAGTGCCTTGGAATCGGCATTGAGCACCACAGGACCCATCTGACCTCGCCAAGAGTCTGTTGGCTGATCCTCATACACGTGTGCACACATACACACCACACACCTGCACACACCCACATACACACCCCCCATACCACACCTGTGTGCACGCACCACACACACCCCACATATATACCACACACCTGCACACACACATACCACACACATGCACACCCACATACACCACACACCCCGCACACACAAGAACACACACCTGCCCGTGTACCCACACACACATGTACATGTGCACACACACACCACACACCCACACACGCAGTAACCATGCGTGGTAACCAATATGCTAATCAAATTTGATGCAGTAATCATAATATAATACATACATCAGACCATCACATTGTAGCCTTGACTAGGTATTATTTCTACTTGACAATTACAGTCAATGAAGCTGGAAAAAAGGAAAAAAGAAAAAACAAGGTGTTTCCCTCAGGTATACCTGTTCTCAGGTACTGAACATACTTATTCATTATCTACTTTGAGCTTTTGCATGATTGCTGCACAAAAATACTGTGGTAAACTGCAAATAATTAAGCAAAAAAAATGCACTGGTCACCAACTCATATTCAAACTGGCCCTGCTTTAAAACACCAATGTTGGCCGGCGCTGCGGCTCAATAGGCTAATCCTCTGCCTGCAGTGCCAGCACCCCAGGTTCTAGTCCTGGTTGGGGCACCGGATTCTGTCCCGGTTGCCCTTCTTCCAGGCCAGCTCTCTGCTGTGGCCTGGGAGTGCAATGGAGGATGGCCCAGGTGCTTGGGCCCTGCACCCCATGGGAGACCAGGATAAGTACCTGGCTCCTGCCATTGGATCAGCACGGTGCGCTGGCCGCAGCATGCCCGCTGCTGCGGCCATTAGAGGGTGAACCAACGGCAAAGGAAGACCTTTCTCTCTGTCTCTCTCTCTCTCACTGTCCACTCTGCCTGTCAAAAAACAAACAAACAAAAACAAAAAAACACCAATGTTAAATTAAAATCTGCAGTATCTTAGTTAACTGCTTCCCACAGAAGCTTATCAAATGTGAACTGAAATAAATCATAATCAGATATTACTATAATACAGAGAAGGAGATGATCAACCTCACAAGACAGAAAGGACTACACAGTATCTCCCACAATCCTTCAAACAGCAGCAACAGGAACTGATGACATTTGCACTTCCCACAATGAGAAACGGAGCACAGCAGTGACGTACTTCTTTTGTGTTGCCCTTGAATTTCTCTTTCAGATGTAGTCACTTCTTGCCTACAAGCAAACACAGTAATGTGTTTCGTTAAAAAAAAAAAAATGAAAGAGAGAAAAAAAGAGCATTTGCTCTTTAAATCATCTTACAATTAAAAGTCTGCTTACTCTAGCCTTTCTGAAAAGCCACAAAAATCTAGGAGAAGAATGAGAAGTATAGAATAAAACTACATGCTTATATCATGAAACTGAGGAATTACGAGGCTATCAGAGTACCTAGATCTCCAGGCAGATGGAGGACACATAGACGACATGATGCTGTCATGATACTAAGATACCAGACTGCCTCTATGTTACCACGTGCGAGGAGGACACAGGATGACAGGTTTATCATGAAGCACTCAAGCAGCCAACAGTTTGATGTCCAACTTTTTCAGCTTGTAGAATTATGAAATAATAAATTTCTGTCAGATAAGCCAATGTGCAGTACTTTGTTAGAAAACTCTACAACTAAAGCAGCCTGCTATGCAGAAATGGGACCAGACTAGACCGAAGAACCAGGTCATTGTGTCTGCCAGTTAGTTCCCTGTTCACCTTGACCTCCTGCAACATGGACCCTCCTGTTTCAGAAATTGACTTTAGGCACTGGGATCCCATATGTGCGCTGGTTCATGTCCCAGCTGCTCCTCTTCTGATCCACCTCTCTACTTCATTTTCAGAGTGAACTAGTGGTTGCAAACTTCTCTCTCTGTCTCTTCCTCTCTCTGTCTGTAACTGTACCTCTGAAACAAAAAAATATTTTTAAAACATAAGTAAACCACTCTCCCTCACTTCAGAGGCAGCCAGCCAAAGGATGGGATGATAAAGATTAAAACCCACAAATACTACTGCCATGAATTGTTACACATCAAAATATTTGATTGATATTAACCAACAAAAAAGAAAACATAAAAGGTAATGCAAACAAATTGTAGGTAAATTAGTCATCTAATGACAGGCAGGAAAAATAAGAAGAGACTATCTGAAATTCACTGTTAAATGTTCTCTAACTCATACACTTCCAATTACAATGTTTGGCAAAAGCTTACACAGCATGCTTTCAAAATCTGTGGACATCATAAACATCATGGTATTTTCTGAGCACTAAGCCAGCCAGGCACGCACTGACCACAATCTAAGGTGAAGGCTATTCTACAGAAGAAGAAATCAAAATCTAGAGAATGTAAAAAGCTTGTCTCGATGAAGACTAATAGAACCTACAAAGCAGAAATAACATAGACCACACAGATCCTCATGACAAATAAAATCAGAATTACATTTAGGATTGTAAAATAATGTTTGAAATTAAAAACTACCTATATCCAAGAAAAAAAAAGCAAATTTGAAAATATCAGATAATAATAGATTTTCTAGGCTGGCGCCATGGCTCACTAGGCTAATCCTCCGCCTTGCGGCGCCGGCACACCAGGTTCTAGTCCCGGTCAGGGCGCCGGATTCTGTCCCGGTTGCCCCTCTTCCAGGCCAGCTCTCTGCTGTGGCCCGGGAGTGCAGTGGAGGATGGCCCTAGTGCTTGGGCCCTGCACCCCATGGGAGACCAGGAGAAGCACCTGGCTCCTGCCATCGGATCAGCGCGGTGCACCGGCCGCAGTGCGCTGGCCGCAGCGGCCATTGGAGGGTGAACCAACAGCAAAGGAAGACCTTTCTCTCTGTCTCTCTCTCTCTCACTGTCCACTCTGCCTGTCAAAAAAAAAAAATAAGAAAAAAGAAATAATAGTTTTGCTATAACAACAGATACAATGCAGAAAAAAATATGGAGAAGGAACTTTATACTTCTATATGCCGCCATTCCTAGGCAATAAATCTTGAAAATCCAAAAAACATGAGTTTTGAACACAAACAAGTAAAATTTTAAAACAATTTTTAAAAGCTAAAAAAAGAAAAACTAAGATGTAATAAAGATAAAAGTGTACCATGACCAGCTCAGTGGTCAGCAGGGGCTGCTGGGGAGGGAGGGAGGGTGGTGGACATAGTCCATATCTCCACTGTGCTGGTGGTTACATCACTGTCAGTGTTTATACAAACTTACCACACAGTGTATGTAAAGTGGTAAATTATATCTCTATAAACCTGCATTGTAAGTTAAATATCTTGAAAGAATTCATCTGTCCTTTCTGTAAATAGATTTAAAGTTATGAAATGAATGATATTCTGGAAAAATGAAATAACCAAACCTGACTCGGGAAGATGTTCAGATTGTAACTCTATGCAAAAAGTCTCACCCATGGGGCCAGCGCTGTGGCATAGCAGGTAAAGTCATTGCCTGCAGGGCCGGCATCCCACATGGATGTCGGTTCAAATCCCGGCTGCTCCACTTCCAATCCAGCTCTCTGCTATGGCCTGGGAAAGCAGTTGAAGATGGCCCAAGTGCTTGGGCCCCTACACCTGCATGGGAGACCTAGAAGAGGCTCCTGGCTTCAGATTGGTGTAGCTCTGGCCGTTGTGGCCACCTGGGGAATAAATCAGCAGGTCGAAGACCTCCTCTCCCTCTCCCTCCTCTCTGCCTTTCAAAGATATAAATCTTAAAAAAAAAAAAAAAAAAAAAAAAAAAAAAAAACAAGCTTCATCCTGTGAAATTAGCCAGCTGGATAGCCAACCTCCATTCCACTCCTGGAAGCTACGCAAATGTAACTGCAGTGACCAGGACACAGTTCAGCTCCTCCTCACCAAGCCGACTGCTGAAGGGCCACCGGGCTCACTCACAGAATTCCCTTCAGTACTTAATGCTCTTCATCTGGCTGTTGTCTGTTTGTGATTAAGACTTGCTGGCACTTGAAAATGTTGACATGCTCACTTCCTTGAACAGCAAGGAACTGGAGAACAGCATTTAGCACCAGCCTCATTTTATACACAATGAAGCAAACACTAGGTTTCCGTACCTAACTCAAATGCTCACATCCAGTGCCTGGCTGAGGTGGCACTGACAGAACCAACCTCTCAGCAGCAGCCTGAGCAGAACCCTGGATCAACAACGGTGCCATCCTCACTGTCTCCTCTCCAGCTACAAGCCCTCCACCATCCCTGAGGGTCAGGATGGCCTCAGCCCTCCCCTTCATGCAAAGTGCCAGGGAATCATTTTCCAGGTGGCTGATGTGGAAACCAACCACACCCAGCCCTGCCCTTTCCTACCACAGACAAGAAGGAAGGCCATCCTAGAGACAGAAACCCAGAGCTGGAGATGAAGTGATTAGCAAAGAGGGGAGCAACGCTATGAAAAGCCCGTGGCTGGCAGTCACAGCAGGGTGCCTCTGTCCATCTAAGGCCAGGCAAGATATCAACATCCAGATATCTATTTTCCACCCCTGTGGTCAGTGTCTTAAAGAGGCTGTGGTTGGTAAAGGGAGATGGACGCCACAGGTTACGACAGCACATCTAGAGTTACAGGAGGAGATAAAGCCACAGCAGATGTTAGCAGGGTGGTACCCAGAAGTGCAGCTCCCCACAGTCTAGGCATGGGGGCCTCAAAAGCCAGCACATCCAGGAGAGTGTCAGTCAACCTTAGGTTGGAGAGCAGGATGGAGGGCAGGGGGGGTGGAGAGGAGAAGGGAGGGCAGGGGGATGGAGAGCAGGACGGAGGGCAGGGGGGTGGGTTGGAGAGCAGGATGGAGGGTAGGGGGTGGAGAGCAGGACAGAGGGCAAGGGGGGTGGAGAGGAGAAGGGAGGGCAGGGGGATGGAGAGCAGGACGGAGGGCAGGGGGATGGAGAGCAGGACGGAGGGCAGGGGGGTGGGTTGGAGAGCAGGATGGAGGGCAGGGGGTGGAGAGCAGGACAGAGGGTAGGGGTGATGGAGAGGAGGACAGAGGGCAGGGGGATGGAGATCAGCATGGGGGCAGAGGGATGGAGAGCAGGACAGAGGGCGGGGGTGGAGAGGAGGACAGAGGGCAGGGGGATGGAGAGCAGGACAGAAGGCAGGGGGTGGAGAGCAGGACAGAGGGCAGGGGGTGGAAAGGAGGATGGAGGGCAGGGGGTGGAGAGGAAGAGGGAGGGCAGGGGGTGGAGAGCAGGACAGAGGGCAAGGGGGGTGGAGAGGAGAAGGGAGGGCAGGGGGATGGAGAGGAGGAGGGAGGGCAGGGGGGTGGAGAACAGGGTGGAGGGAAGAAAGGAGGCGAGGGGGAGACTGTGCAGTGGAACAGCAGCACGTGCCAGTGCCCTGAGGTGAGGCTGGAAGAGCATGAACTGCAAGCAAAGGCCTGGCAACACTGCACGAGGTGGGGTGGGGAACGGTTCAGAGAGGTGTGCAGGAGCAAGTGCTGGCGGCACTGCACACCCTGGTGCGGAGTCTGCGTGGAGAGCACAGAGTGGCGTCAAGGAAGGAAAAGGCATGACTGGACCTGGGTGTTCCACAGATCACTCTGCCACTCTAGAGGAACAGGTTGGAAGTGTGGTGTGTGCAGACAACCAAAAACAAAAATCCTTCATTCCCACTTCTCACGCCCACCTGCTTTACAGAAGTAAGAAACAAAACAGGCACATGTGGGGTCTGCTTCTCTGGTTCAGGCAGCCGCCATCTAAGCTGCCGCCAACTCACCGAAAGGATCCCCAAAGAGGCCATCCTGCCTGAGGGACAGAGACCGTGGACTCGAACCTTGGAGAAGACCAATGGCCTCTTACCTTGTCACGCCTGGGCTTGCCTTCCTGCACTTCTTCCGGCTCCTTCCCAGGCAGCTAGATGGAAACAGGGGAAAGAGAGCTTGTTGCTGCCCCCCAGATTGTCCCACCCCCTTCTCCAGCTTCACCGACTGCTGCCGTCGAGTGCACAGCTTCCTTCTGCCAAGCGTCTCTTTTCTGCCCGTCAACAGGCACAGACACAGAACACATCTCAGAATTCGACTGGAGACCAGGCTTACGCTGTCCTGGACAACATGCCTACATTCTAACCACCGAGTCCCTGTCTGTATTTAATCACAGGTGGCTCCGGATGAGGATTGATCCTAATCAGCAAACTCCCTGGCTCTCCAGAAAAGGTAAGAGGTCCAGAAGAGCAACCCGGGAGGCTCAGCTTCTCCGCCGACCCCAGCAGCAGCAGCAGTGTGTGTGCCCTCAGCCCGGGCAGCAGAGCCACAGCAAGCACCTCTGGAGCCTGCTGAAGAAGCCATCATTACCCACTCCTGGGGAAGCTGACCTTTGGCATGTCACTCCTGTCATTGTTATTATCTTTGTGATACTTAAGCAAACACTAAATGATGAAATTAACTCAGAGCAACCAGGTGATTTGCACGGTTAACACAGCAGATAGAAAGACCAAAGCATGTGATTCAAAAGTTATGAGAAGAGGGGCTGGCACTGTGGTGTAGCAGGTAAGGCAGCTGCCTGCAACACCAGTATCCCATGTGCACACCAGTTGTTGTCCCAGCTGCTCCACTTGCGATCCAGCTCCCTGCTGATGTGCCTGGAAAGCAGCTGAAGATGGTTCAAGTGTTTGAGTCCCTGCACCCATGTGGGAGACCCAGATGAAGCTCCTGGCTCCTGGCTTCAGGCTGGCCCAGCCCTGGTGGCTGAGGTCATCTGGAGAGTTAACCAGGAGATAGAAGATTCTCTGTGTCTCTCCCTCTCTCTCTGTACCTCTGACTTTCAAATAAAATAAATAAATCTTTTTAAAAAATTTATGAGTAGAAATAAATGTCATATTAGAAAATAATATTATCAGTACAATGGCACAAGTCTATTAAGACGAATTAAGGAAAAAGGGAAGAGGACTAAATATAAAATGAAAACAGATAATTTAGAATTCAGATCTACAGACATGAGACAAATATGAAAATGTATATATAATAAACATGACAGCTTAAAATGAATAATATCCTGGGGGAAAAATATGTAAATATTGATACATGAATACTCTCAATAATTCAAAAAAATCCTACCTCACATGGTTGCATATATAATTTTACCAAATTTCAAGTGACACCTAGTCCCTAGAAAAATGCAAAATAATGCCAAATTCCTTAAATGAGATTCATATATTTTCATTCCAAAATCAAATAAATACAGAGAAAAAAATCACAGGCCCAATTCACCCAGGAAAATGAATGCAATAATCACCAACAACACATGAATTAATTAAATCTAAAAGTACAGTAAATATAATACACATAACAATTAAGTGGTTTTTCTCCCAGAAACTTCAGGATAGATCATAAGGGGAAAAATCCTGTTAACATAATTAATGACCTTAGAAATCTATGAAGACAGGCAAGAGTTTATTTCAGTAGTTTGAAAACTTAATTTGATAATATTTAGCCCCATTAATAAAAATTCTTATAAAACTTGTTATAAAATATATTTTGATAAAGGCAATATACCAAAAATTATATAACAAAGTTAATGGAAAAATTTTAGAGAAAAATCCATTAAAGTTAGTTGCAAGCAAGGAAACCTAAGAATACTGACATTCTTAAACATAATAATAATATAAATAAGAAAAAAGCATGAGAACTGAAAGAAATGACAAAAGATAGAAAATTATTTAATTTTGTAGATGATATATTAACTAAAACACAGTAGAATTAACCATTAAAGGCCGGCGCCATGGCTCAATAGGCTAATCCTACGCCTGCGGTGCTGGCACACCAGGTTCTAGTCCCAGTCGGAGCGCCAGATTCTGTCCGGGTCGCTCCTCTTCCTGTCCAGCTCTCTGCTGTGGCCAGGGAGTGCAGTGGAAGATGGCCCAAGTGCTTGGGCCCTGCACCTGCATGGGAGACCAGGAGAAGCACCTGGCTCCTGGCTTCGGATCAGCGTGGTGCGCTGGCCGCAGTGCGCTGGCTGCAGTGGCCATTGTAGGGTGAACTAACAGAAAAAGGAAGACCTTCCTCTCTGTCTCTCTCTCTCACTGTCCACTAAGCCTGTCAAAAAAAAAAAAAAAAAAGAATTAACCATTAAAAGAAATGACAAATTCAGCAAGGCTGGTAGAGAGTACAATTATCTTACAACTTTCAATAATATTCTAGCAAAAGTAGACTGGTTGGGGGGGAGCATAGATTTGTTGCTGTGTATACTATCTATGCAAGAACAACCAAAACCTTAAAGCCCCAACAGAACACGTCGAAGGTGTGGGTAAACACAGTCCCAGACCACTGTGTGACTGGACTAATAGATCTGCAGACACAGCACATAGACTTTGAATTAAACTCATCAGAAGTCAAGTGGAACTTTCCGTAAAATCTGTTTACAGTTTTACGCGAACACGAGAGGATAAAGTCCTCAGAGAGCTGCATCAGTGTTGAGATGAAGAATCATCACCCAGCAGTGCCTCATGGAGAGCAGTGGAAAGCACTCTGCCTGGCGTTTACAGTGTGATTCCCAGCCACGCCCTCCTCCCCCCGCCTCTGCAGCACCCCCACTCACACATCTGCTGGAGCCCCCCAATGCCGGCCGAAGCCGAGAAAGGCAGGGGACGTCCTGGGAATAATGTGTGAGTTCACTGTGTAAGCCACACGGGGGTCTCTTCACAGCAGAGGTGACCTTGACAAGTTTTAACTCTCTCAGCTTTAATGATCTCGGCTCTGTAATTTCTATGTTCTTAAAGGTACAACAAAGCATTAAGTACAGTGCTTCTTCAGGGGCCTGTCCTTTCTAAAATCTGCTCCCACAGCCACTTCCCCTGGATGCTTCATTTGTTTTCTCTAAGCCAAGACCATAGCTTCACGCAGCTTTCCACAAATGACAGTCACCCTACCAGCAGAGAAACACCAATCACCACAGCACGTGATTTAACTCAGCTCTGATCACAGCGGCGTCGCTTCTCCACTGACTCTCGAGTCATCCTCACTCTAAACTCCCATGGCCCTTCTCCACCCACTGCCCTCCAGGCTCCTTAAGAAACAGAAACTGAAAACCCAGAGGACAAAGTTGGGGACGGCAGTGCTGGCAGCACGGGCGGCAGGGTGTGGTTCATCTGTCCCCTGACAACACCTGTCCAGTGGGCTTGGGTGAGCAGTAAAGTCTACAGTGAAGGGAGAACTGGCCCAGTGGAGCAAGTGGCATTAGGTGATGCGAGGAGGACAGAAATTGGAGTGGGAGCACTCAGAAGAACCAGCTATGGGGCGTGGAGTGGGCAACTGGCAGTCCTGCCCTGCCCTCTGCCCTCCCCACACCACTGCACACCATGCTCACACCTGGCCCAGGGGCTGTCTCTAAGGTTCCTGTTTCTGGAAGCAAACCCCACACATCTACCCTGCTGCAGCAATGGCAGCATCCCCCCAAAACCCAGGATGAGATCCCAGTGCCACTGGCTGTACTGGAAATGGGGCCTGCAGGGGATGAGTCTTGAGTGAGGCTTCTATGGCAGGGTTTCCCCGGGGTAGGAACTGCTTGACTGTAAACCTGAGTTCTGTCGCACGTGAGCCCTCCCATCCCTTCTCTCTCTGCCACGTTACGATGCAGCAAGACCTGGCTCCGTGCTCTTGGGCTTCCAATCCTCCAGCCTGAGAACTGAATCTATCTTCTTTATAAATTACCCAGTCCAGGATAGCTGAAGCAGCAAGTAGACCAGGGCCTTGTCACTCTGTCTCTGCACCGCCCCTCACACCTCCACCTGGGCTGCAAGCCCTCCTCTGCTGCCTGCTGTCTGCAGGACTCACCATGGTGCGAGTGTACTGTTCATGGGGTGGTTACCCTTCCTGCTGGAACAAGCTCCACGGGGTGGAATTCTGCCACCTGTTCTCACGGGCACTTGCCGTGCATGTTAATGCACGGCCTTCTAAATGATGATTCCTGAGAGTGACTCAGGGAAGCAATGCTGAAAACGGATTGGTTACACAGCAGCTGGCATGGACTAGTCACCTGCTGTCTCCCCTGACATCTAGCCACTGGTCCACTTATTCCTCACAATCACCCCCAGGCTCCATCAACCTTGTTCTGTCTTTGGACACGGGGCAGTGAGGCAGGTTTATGGAGGTGCAGGGACAGGGCCCAGTACAAGCCCTGAGCCATCTCCCCAGACACCACTTCTGCTGCGGGCAGCACCGTGGTAAACATGTGTGTTCAGAAAGGATGCCATCAGCCCGTGACATAGAGAAGGCAGGTGCAAAACGCCAGTGCTGGACAGCCAGGGGCAGCATCCACCACGAGTGGAACTGCAAGGCACGCAGCAAGGCCCCAGGAAGTCAGGCCTGTGGCCGCCTGGCCACATGGGCACCAGACCCAGACCCTGGGTCCAGACGTTTATTACTCTGTTCACATGCAGTCTTGATTCTAACGGAAGGAGATGGACACTAAAGCACGAACAGCCAACAGACAAGGGCAGTGGGTACCTGAGCTCATGCAGAGACTTACAGATGGCTTTTCCGGCCTCCCGAGTTCTTAGCTGAACCGTCCAGAGGCAGGCCCCAAGAGTTGTCAACACACACACAAGGTGTCTGTGAGGTGAAGGGTGCTGACCAGCCTGGCTGTGGGAGTCACGTCCACAGTGGACAGGTGCACCTCACTTCACACTGCATGCCTCCAGCACGTACAGCTTTCATCTGTCAATCATGCCTCAATAAAGCCAGAGACAAAGCCGTCCACCACCTTTCCCTCCAAGCCGCGCTGCTGACCTGGCTTCCCAAGTTCAGCAGACACAGCGTGCTCAGCAGAGGTCGCCTCCCATGACCAGCTGCCGCGCGTATCCTGACGCAGTGTGTTACCAAGTGGTGCCGTCTTTTTCCCAGCTCACAGTAACAGGATCACAGTATCAACCACCTCACACAGCAGCTGCAGGAAAACCAGGGAAGCTGTCCTGGGAGGATGGCAGCTGCCACAGCTGGCAGCCATGCGCACCAGCACGAGCAGACAGCTCTGGGGCCCCCGACACTGCTGCCCTAGAGAAGGGTCGGGGCAGAGTGGGGAAGACCCTGGGCTGCGCTGAGCTCCATCACACATGCCAACCATAGGACCCCTCCTCCTAGTCCTGGCTGCCTGGATTCCAAAATGGAACTGAACCCCAGGCACAGGCTCCTCCAGGGTTGCCATGTAGGAGAGAGAGGGCTGGGAGGCAGAACAAGGAGGGGTCTTTGCCGATTTCAGCAAACCCAGGCACTTCATCCCCGACTGCAAATGCCTACAGCCTCTGCGCTGTCATTTTGTGAGTTGAGGGGGAGGACTGTGGCTGCCTCCAGAGAGGTGACAGGCAGAAGGCAAAGGCCTAAAACCCAGTGCAACTAAAGAGTGAGAGCCCCCAACCTCAGCATGGCAAAGCACATCACCATGTCCCTGCTCGGGGACGTCAGTGAGAGTGCATGCGCGTCAGAGCAGGCAGAGAGCACTCTCCAGGGGGCCCCTCTCTGCACACAGCAGCAGTGGCAGGGACTGCAAAGGACATGAGGCAGACGCACATGGACCGTGGTGCCGACAGAGCTGTTCCACGCATGAACGTCTGGACCACCCACAAAAACCCTGAAAGAACACTGCAAAGATCAGTGCTGGCAGCAGCAGGAAGACGCAGGCATGGGCCACAGCGTTCCAGAGTGCAGACTGAGACAAGCAAACACGACTGAAAGTGGGCTCTGGAGCAAGGGACCCGCTGGCCGAGGCACGAGACGTGCATGGAGGCATCAGCAGTGGTCAGGTTGAGAGGACTGCAACGTCCACACCATGTGTTCATGGCAGAAAGGGCAGAAAGCTGCACCTGGCTGATAAAGCTGAGCTGCAGAGAGGCCAGGCTCTCCACAGCAGCACCTGAGACTCCCTGTTGGACACAGGAAACTGAGTTAGAGTCTGGTGCTAAGAAAGATGGCAGACAAAGCCCTAGGGGTAAGAGGACAAGAAGGGAGGGACTGGGGCCTGCGCTGTGGCATAGCGGGTAAAGCCACATCCCATAATGGGTGCCAGTTCCAGTCGTGGCTGCTCCACTTCCAATCCAACCCCCTGATAACACTCCGGGAAAACAACAGAGGATGGCCCAACTGCTTGGGCCCCTGAATCCACGTGGGAGACCCAAAAGAAGCTCCTGTCTCCTGGCTTTGGTCTGGCCCAGCCCTGGCTGTTGCAGCCATCTGGGGAGTGAACCAGCTGGGTGGAAGGTCTCTCTTCTCTCTCTCTCTCTGTTAATGAATAAATAAATAGGGAGTGATTAAAACAGGGTCCCAGAACCTTGAAATCAACACAAGTATGGGGTGGCTGTTGTGGTACAATGGGTTAAGCCTCCGCTTGTGATGCCAGCATCCGATTATCAGAGTGCCTCATTCAAATCCCAGAGGCTCTGCTTCCAATCCAGCTCCCTGCTAATGTGCCTGGAAAGCAGCCAATGATGGTTCAAGTTTTTGAGTCTCCACCACCCATGTAGAAGACCTGGATGGAGCTCCTGGCTCCTGGCTTCAGCCTGGCCCATCCCAGGCTGCTGTAGCCATTTGGGAAGTGAATCAGTGGGTGGAAGATAGCGCTTGCTCACTCTCTCTCTCTCATTAATAAATAGTTTATATAAAAAAATCTAACATAAGTCAGGCTAGTGGAGAGTGAATGTCCCCACTGGAGCACAGGCACATGAGCAGGGTCTCGCCCTGAGCAGATCTGTGTGGCCTGGGAGGGGTGAGCAGATGGGCACAGGAGGCTGCAGAGCCAATAATCTAAGACTCAGCAAAAGGTCGGAACAGCATTCGTCCTGTTCTATAGCTTATAAAGCCGAGGAAGAATGCAGGCCTAAAAAGCACTGGTTACACTCATTTCAGTGCATATTTGGGGATGCATCCTTTTCAAGACCCTGACTGCTCGCCTTCACACTGACCCCCATGCAGCTGATGGTTTGGAAGTGAGCCCTACACCCAGTGAGAAAAAAACGGGCAGAGAGATTCAGGAGACCATAGCCCAGGGTTTCTGGATAGAGGGCTGCACACAGAGTCAAACTGAATTTCAGATAAACCAGGAGTAGCTTTCTGGTGTAAAGATGGCCCACGCAATGACGCACAGCGTGAGACACACAGAGACACAGCCACAGTGGCCACCCTCCAGCCTCAAAGTCAGGGCACTGTCTCCACGCTCAGCCTTCCTGAAGCTCGGCCTGCTCACCACCTGGACAGGCACCCACTCCCAGCCACGTCCTGGGCTCTGCCCAGAGTCACACTCACCGTTGCTCCCGCAGGAGGTAATTGCCCATCCTCTCCCAGGACCCAGCTGCTCAGCTGCTGTTTGGTTCACTCGGGGCTGTCCCGACCACAGCAACAGCGGCAAAGTGCGAGAGGCAGGATGCTGCCCTGACCACTGGCTTCTGCCTGCCAACCGCCAGCTGCCAGGGGGCGGGCACTGCAGAGGAGGCAGGAGCCACTCCAGGGGAGGGGACAGAAAGCTGTGTGTGCGCACGCATGTGCGTGTATGTGAGAGCACACGCACAGGCAAGTGTGCACAGTGTGGGAGAATCAGGCTGAAGGTTTACAGAAGCGTTCGCTCTGCTCCCAAGTAAATTCCAGGATTGTGAGACCCAGCAGGCAGGGCTTGTCCCTCTTCTCAGAAGCCAGAGGCCCCAGGACACTGTGTTTTTCCAAACATTCCTTCTTAGGAAAAGAAGAACAAAAAAGCAAAAGGTCTTTCTGTGGTTGTGGCCACAAAGTCTGGTCCAGTGTGCCAGTCCTGAAATGCCAAAGAGTCCATGGAAAAGAAGGGAGAACAGGGAGACGAGACCCAAAAACTGCAGGGAGGGTGTGGAGCCCCAGAGAAAGCCCCGCTTTTGTCCCCACACCACAGGGATGCATGCAGCCCCGCTCTTGTCCCCACTCCACGGGGACGCATGCAGCCCCGCTCTTGTCCCCACACCACGGGGACGCATGCAGCCCCGCTCTTGTCCCCACTCCACGGGGACGCATGCAGCCCCGCTCTTGTCCCCACACCACGGGGACGCATGCAGCCCCGCTCTTGTCCCCACACCACGGGGACGCATGCAGCCCCGCTCTTGTCCCCACACCACGGGACGCATGCAGCCCCGCTCTTGTCCCCACACCACAGGGACGCATGCAGCCCCGCTCTTGTCCCCACACCACGGGAACGCATGCAGCCCCGCTCTTGTCCCCACACCACGGGGACGCATGCAGCCCCGCTCTTGTCCCCACACCACAGGGACGCATGCAGCCTGAGGACCTGGCCCACCATCTGACTCAACTTCCTGTCTGTACCACCCACAGCCACCACAGCTGAAACTGGCCCCGCAGATAAGCTCAAAGACCGGTATCAGTGGCAGATCAGTAGCAGCTGACTGAGCCGTTGGCCTCAGGCAAGGAACAGCAGGCAGCTGGGTTTCTGCAGCCTTCAACCAACAGGAAGTCAACTTGCAGAATTCAGAGGCCAAGGCTCATCTATTCCAACTGGTATTCCCAAGGAGGACACCAGGACCCAGGAAGTTCAGGTGACTGCAAGCCACAGAGTGCGGGTGTTTTCCAGTCATCCCAAAGTTTGGAGTGATTGTTTTATTCATCGATCATACACATGATAAACAGATGTCAGAAGCAGGACTGCCACACACCCCTCTCAGATTTGGGGTCCCCATAATTCACACTCCAGCAAGACACTTCTCAAAGCTGCACAAACCTTTGCAAATCCTGCGGGGATGACATCAACTGCGGACTCTGGGGTCCACATGCTGCCTCTGGGTGGCATTGTCCTGCCACTGTGGGCAGCACCAAGGCCAGCAGGTGCTCCTGTGGTGTGTAGGAAATGCAGGTGCCCAGGATCTGCCTCAGACCTGCAGAACCGGGAACCCGGAGTGGAGTCCTCCTGGCCATGCTACTGTGAAGGCTATCCTCCTCTCAGCTGGTCGCTCACCACTAGACACGCCAGCACCACACGTGTGGTTCTGGGGGTTTGTGCAGGTGCCTCACACCAACTGCCCCTTATCTGTGGGAGGCATCTCTCCACAGGGAAGCTCTTTTGTTTGGGGTTTCCCTGGTCTATGGAGCAAGGAGTACAGGGTCCATCCTCTGACTGAGACATGTTGGTCACCAGGAACTGTCAACTCTCTCTGTGCTAATCTAATGCTCATATGCTTCGTGAAAAAGGCTAGACAAGTAAGCACTTACCCAGCACAGTACCCATGACCCAAAGCAGCCCCTTGTGTTTTCTGATGCATACCTTGACAGTCTGCCCTGGGGACATGTGCCAGCCCCACTGGTTTAACAACAGCCAGAAAGAGCATCCTCTGCACGTGTCTTCCCACACCATCAATGCATTTAAAACATTGCTTTTACTTTGTTCTCCATCCTTATTAAGGTTTACTTAATGCACCAAAAAATGGAGCATAATTAATGTGTACAACCTGACCAGTATGGACCTTTGCGTGCATTTCACATGACCAAGGGATGAGTCACTGCATCACCCATCACTACACGTGAGATCTGCCCTCTTAACAGATTATTAAGTGAACGTTGCCTTACTGTTAACTTGGAAACTGTATCATGACAATCAACAGATGGAAAAGGCAACTGATTGGATGAGAGAAAATATAAACAATTGGGCCAGTGCTGTGGCATAGCGGGTAAAGCTGCTGCCGGCAATGCCAGCATCCTATATGGGCACAGGTTCAAGTCCCAGCTGCTCCACTTCTGATCCAGCTCTCTGTTTTGGCCTGGGAAAGTAGTAGAAGATGGCCCAAGTCCTTGGGGTCCTGTACCCATGTGGGAGACCTGGAAGAAGCTCCCAGCTCCTGCTGGGATCAGTCCAGCTCCAGCCATTACACCCATTTGGGGAGTGAACCAGAATACAGAAGACCTCTCTCTCTCTCTCTCTGTCTCTTTAACTCTACCTTTCTAATAAATTAATCTTTTAAAAATATATAACTGATCACTTTCCAAAATACACGAGGAACTCACAGAACTACTAGCTTAATTAATTAGTTAATAACAGTTTAAAATGGGCAAAAGACATCTCAATCAAAAATGTGCAATTGTAAGGGCTTCCAAGATGGAAGAGTATGGGGGCAGCTTACTACTCTAATCTAGGAGAAGATAGTTTTAAAAAAGTGGAGAGAGCGCAGTCTCAGGGAAGAGTTAGGGAGAAAACCAGAGGAAAGTCTACACAAATTAGAGGGACACAGTGGACCTAGGTGGAGGATGTAGACATACACAACTCAGGACCCCAGCAGCTGAGACCCTACACAACAGTGTTGGAGAATGAGGTTAGACCAGACTGCAGCAGCCCAAGCCACTGGCAATCAAGCTGCAGGAAGAGCCTAGAGGCAACCTGACTTGGATCCCATTGGGGGATAGTGTACCTGCCAAACTAGAGGAGCAAAAAATAAAAAGGAGGGGCACATTTCTCTCTCCCCCAATCACCTTGCAATGGCTTCCTGTAACAAGCCGATAGAGCGGGTGTCATTTTAGACATATGTAACAGCTGCATCAGCTTGTATCCATGCCCAAAAACCAGCCAAGACTCCTGACTCCAGAGGGGAGAACTAACAGGGGTCTGGGAGCTCATGACTGTGAGAGGCTTGTGTGCCGGGACTGTGAAAAAACTGAGGCTGTGTGGGAGGGCTCACGGTGTGGCTGGAACTTTGGGCAATCACTATGGGAGGCTCCACATGCTCAGGGCTCCCTGGTTACCTGGGGAGGGACATTGCTGGGGAATCTGAGCTTATACTGAGGACTTCACAGATCTTTTGTGTGGTCCTTGTGGTAGAGGGGACATATATTATACCCTCTAGGGCTAGCCCTCAGGCATTGGTCTCCTTTGAGGAGAGGAGCTCAGTGAACAGAAGAAACTTCCCCTCTGATTAAAAAAAAGAGATTTACCACATCAAACCTGGGAGTGTCACCTCAGACACACCTTTCACCCTGGAGAACTGAACAGAGCTCCCTGGACACACCCACCACACACCTCTAGATATTCACAAAAAGAAGACATTCCACTAATCCACTCAGACATAGTACAAAGATAAAAAGCCACCACAGTGAAAAAACAAAGGAGAAACCAACGAATATCTCCACAAATACCAAATAATAAACATACCAATTCAAGAAACAAAAGTAAGGAAGACAACATGACACCCCCAAAAGAACTCAATACTAGCTTGTGAAGATGATGAGATTGAAAAAATGCCAGAAATGGAATTCAAAAAATTGATCATAAGATTACATAGGAGTAATCAGAAGCAAATGCATGAGCTACTGAAAATTGATTTGAAACAATTTTCATGTCAATCATGACATGAAACAAAATTTCTCCGATGAAATTGAGATCTTAAAAAGAAATCAAAATGAAATGAATAATTCTACAGAACAAATAAAATTGCCATGGAAAGCCTTAACAACAGAATCGGTGAAGGAGAAGAAAGAATATCTGACCTGGAAGACAGAGCACAGGAAATTACAGTCAGAACAAAAACAAGAAGAGGAAATCAGAAAACTGAAAACACTGTAGGTAATCTAGAGGACACTATCCAATGACCCAACACATGGGTCCTAGGAGTTCCTGAAGGCATGGAAAAAGAGAGTGATTAGAAGGCCTTTTTAGTGAAATAATAACGGAAAACTTCCCTAAGAAAGAAAGGGGCATCCAAGTACAGGAAGCACAAAGAACTCCTAATAGACATGACCAGAAAAGATCTTCACCAAGACACATTGTAATAAAACTCATCACAGTAACCATAAAGAAAAGATTCTAAAATATACACAAGAGAAACACTAGATTACTTTCAGAGGATCTCCAAATAGATGCACAGTGGACTTATCAGAAACCCTACAGGCTAGGAGAGAATAGCAAGATATAGTCCAAGTTTTAAGAGGAAAAAAATTGTCAACTCAGAATACTGTATCCCGTAAAATAAAGCTCTCACTTATGAATGAAGGTGAAATAAAGACCTTCCATAACAGAAACTCAAAGAATTTGTCACCACCCATCCAGCCCTGCAAAAGATACTTAAGAATGTGCTACACATAGAAACACAGAAATGTGGTCATCAATATGAAAGAAGGTGAAGGAAGAAAATCTTTTAGTAAAAGTACAAAAGAAATCCAAAGTAAAAAAAAATAGGAATATTTATGGAAAAATGGCAGGGCAAAGTTGTTACTTATCAAGTTAAAAGACACAGACTGGCCGATTGGATTAAAAAACAAAACCCATCTATTTGCTGCTTACAAGAAATACATCTCACCAACAAAGATGCATGCAGATGGAAAGTGAAAGGACAGAAAAAGATATTCCATGCCAACAGAAACCAAAAAAGAGCTGGCATAGCCATCTTAATATCAGACAAAA